ATTTTTTTTTAATAATTAGATTTCTTTAGTGAATTTTTCATTGATTTCATGAATTTTTTTTGTGGATTCTTTGTGTTGGTTTTCTATGTTCTCTTGTATTTTGTTGAGCTTACTTATAATTTTAATTTTTAATTAAAGAATTTTTAATTCTTTATCTGTCATTACAGTATTCTGATTTTGGTTCGTTTCCATTGCTAGAGAGCTGTTGTTCCCTTTTTGGGGGGTGATCTTTTGTACTGATTCTTCATTCTTCCAGAGTTCTTTTGCTGATTCCTTCTCATTTGGAGCAGCTGTTCCTTCTTATTTTTGGATTTTCTTTTGTTTAGATGGGGCTTTTCCCCCTTGCCTCATTCATGGGTGTGTTTGTAGCACATGCTGGGTAAGAACCTTTGGCTTTACTTATGGGTGCTTTGATGGCAATCTAGGTTCTGTATGGATACCTTGGTTATAGGTATCCTTGGTGTGGTGGTTTTCTCAGTTGCTAGTTTTTTGTAGGCTAGGTAGGAGTGGTGAGCTATTTGAGTGGGTAGATCCCTGTCTCTCTTTGATCAGGGAAGATGGAGGCCTTTGAAACCCTTTCTCTTTCCCCAGCCCTCGGTCTTAACTGTGTGGGTTGTAATGGCATGCCCAGTTTAATCTCTGAGGCAGTAGGTGGTTCTTGTGGGTGAGAATCAACCACAGCGTGTATGATTGAGTCAGTGAATGCTATAAAAGGCGTGCGAATTCACCTTCCTGTCAGTAGGTGGTGCTTGCTGGAAGGAACAAACTGCGATGTTGTTTTTGGGTCCTGTGACCAGCTCTGGTCCCTCAGGAGAAGCACTCAAATGTCCCAGGTGGTGGGTGAGGGCCTGGAACTGCCATAAGTTCTTATTCTCTGCCACAGGGGAAGTGGGTGGGGGAGTATGTCTGGGGGGGATGAGTTAGGTGAGCTTGCCCTCAGGCTCCACAAAAGCTGGCAAGGTATCTGTTTTAGGAACGGTCAAAGGTCTGCTCCCAACTTCTGGGCAAAGCCCCAGGGAGGGGCTGAAGTGGCCCCACCCAACCAGTAAGCCTGCTTGTCTAGGTGGCGGCCATCTGAGATTCACAATCTGGCAGTCTAGAGCAGGCCTTGCTCCTCTCTGCTCCCCCCTGCTCTACGGTTTCCCTGTGGCGTCTGCCGGCAGACAGGAGCTCAAGCCGCTGAGCTCCCCCACAACTATAATGCAGACCGGAGGTTCTCTGCCCAGGATCCTGGCCTGAGCTAAGAGGGGGGCCCCATGAGCACGGTGCAGCTAGGACCTACAGTGCACTCTCCCCCATGATTTGCCTGTGCAGGCTCCCTCACCTCCTGAGACTAATTCACAAATCTCCCCTCCTTGCCCCCAAGCAATGAGATTGAGACCTGGGGGTATGGGATCTGACCTGTGGGCCTGTCCCTGGATCCCTGAAGATCAATCCCTGACTATGCCAGAGAGAAGTGTGCTGGTCCTGAGTTGCCCATGGGGTGCCCAGTGAGGTTTGATGTCCCTCTGCCTTGGGGCATGCACTACTCTGATGGAGTCACCAGGCAAGCAGTACCAGGGAGGGCCAGTGGGCAGGAAGCTCACAGTTCAAGAACCCCTCAGTCTGCTGTAGGACCCCAAGAGGAAAGGTCTGAGCCCCACTCTCTGTGGAAGCCTCAGTGTGGTGGCTCAATTGTCTCTCTCAGCAGCTGTGGGTGGGAGGGGAAGGGGAGAAAAACAGTCTAAATGGAGGAGAGCTAGCACCCTGGTTGTGTCTGTCCCTCACTCCAGGAAGCTGCCCGCCCAGAATGTCCAGGCACTGGAGTCACACAGATCACCTGGGACCCACTGAATGCCTGTGACTCTTGCAGTCGGGGCCAGAATTGGGAAATGTCTGTGTGGGACCGAGCAAGACAAAACCTCAGGAGCTGAAGCCCTCTGGGGAGGACAAAGATGCACGGTGGGGAGAGATGCAATATGGTGCCTGCTGTCCCGTCTTCGGCCTGGTGCCCTGTCTACAATAAGCTCCCAGCTCTCTGGTGGCAGCAGCCTCTGGGCTCATGTGGGCAGACAGTCTCTCCAGCAGCTCAGGAACCTGCCAACTGTTAGAGATACGAGGGAGGGAGAAACAAACTGCTCCACCTACCCTTCTCCATGGACTCTAAGCCTCTCAGGGGTTGATCTCTGCCAATATTTTGTTTCTTCCTGTTCTGCTCTGCAACTTTCTCCCACGGAGTCTCCTGAAGGTTCTGGCACCCTTCCCTCAGATCCACTCCCGATGTCTATTTTGTCTGTTTGTTCAATTTTTCTCTTTCATCTAAAACTTCTCCTTTTTACTGAGATGCTCTGGCAGCTGGTGGTCAGCCATCTTGCTCACTCCTCTTGTTCGATTTCTCTTTCTCTGATTGAATTTTTCACTTAGAATTTTTATTTGATTTTTTTATAGTTTTGAAGTCTTCAGTAAAATTTTCCAACTTGTTATCTAATTTTTTAAACATATTGATCATAGTTATTTTAAATCCTAGGTCTGATAGCTCCAATATCTGAACCAAAAACAGGTCTATAGCTATTGTCTGTGTTTCCTTTCGGTTATCTGTTGTTTAATCTTCTCTCCTAGTATGCCTGGTAATTTCTGAATGAAAGCCAGACATTGATCACTGTAGAAATATTTTGAGGTTCTGGATGATGTTATTTCCCACTCTTTGCAAGGACTGAACTCTTCTGATTTCCTATTACTCTTAAAGTATAGCTTTTCAAGAGGGTCATCTGAAAGTCTATGGTGTTTATCAAAATCTCTCCTCCTTGGTGGGCCCTCAACTCTAATTTTTGTCCCTTTAGCCATATGACACGACCAAAAACTCTGATTGATTCCCATTGAAATGATCATGATTGTAATAAACCAATATATTAATTTAGGAGGTACTCACATTTTTATAATAGTCTTTCTAGCCAAGAATATGAGACAGCCTACCATTTATTAAAATCTTATATTTCTCATCAAAATTATCTAGTTTTTTTTTCATGTAGGTCCACATATGTTTTATAGGGATTAGAAGAATGTCTAGGGAGACCTTGGAATGGAGGAACATTTAAGTATAAAAGAGTGGGTTTCTGGTTCACATAATCATTGTATATCTTTAACTCCTATTTTTCCTAAAATCCCACTAAACTGATGGTAGAAAAAAACATTTAAGGTATAAACTCAGTAAGGTATAAATCCATTAGGAGAAAGAGAACAGGAAAGAGCCTCAGAAGCCTGAGGCCCAGATACTGCTGGGAGTAGGGAAAAGGGAGCTAAAAGCAGCAGATTTACTCCACTCTCTATATAAAGAGAATGGATCCAAAATTGCCTCCCCCTTTTGTAAACAACTAGGAAGTTACTATCTGTTTCCATATCCCTAATTTTTGGGAGACAAGAGGCTTTTTCTCTGGTTAAAGACTGTGTACTGCAGAGTATAAGGCATGGCACAGAGCAGGTGATACAAAGATTAAATAAACAACAGATTAAGTGAAAGACTGTATACTTTACAGAAAGACCCCTAGCTCCCCTCTCAGGACATGGAAACAAATTATATGTCCTTTAGGCATGAGAAGATGTTTATTTTCTGGGAAAAAGGAAAAGCGAGCCCCAGAGAAAAAACCTCCAGGTATTGTATTCTGAAGCTTCCCATAACAAAAAGGGCCTTTGCTACAACAACACCTTATAAGTGAATTCATCCAGAAGCTTTGTCCCCAAACACACAGCTTCCTATAGACTTTTTACTCCTTCTGTCTTAAAAATGAATGAATAGCTAAAGATCACCAGACATCTGACAAATGCCTCCAACATGAAAGACTGAGATAAAAAACCTGAAAGAGATTATGCCAGAGGAAAATATTTAAAAACCTTTAGTTAATATCCTCAGAAAAATAAGACAAAACATGACATTCATAAAATAAGGACATGATACTATGAAAAAGGAAAAATTAAAACATGATAGCTAAAGTGCAAAACTCAATGGAAGAGCTGTAGCATAAATGTCAAAGAAATTGCCCCAGGAAGCATTATGAAAAGAGAAAGAAACAGGAAATAAGGGAGAAAAGATTAAAATTTAGGTAAAAATCAATCAAATATGAAAAATACAACCGCTAATGAATAAGCATGTAAATTTGTCATTTATAAAACTACACGCATAGGTCCTTCTTTATAAGCTTTCCTCTTTCTTACTCAGTATTGAGCACCTTCCATGTGTAAGACCCTATGGGACAATCAAAATTATTTTATACTAAATAAGACATGTAAGTCCATGATGGACTACAGTCTGAGTAGGTAAGCCAAAAGGTCATAAAGGTATGGTAAAGAAGAGAAGTGTCTTTTCTGGTCTGGGTTATCTTGCAGAGCTGCCTTTAAAGTTTGTTAGGACTTCAAAGCCCAGTGACTTTGAAAGAAAGAAGAATATTCCAGGCAGAGAAAATGGTGTGAGCAGATGGGCAGAACTCAACAAAGTTCAGGACACAGTAATTAATTTGTATTGGCTTAAGCATAAAGAGTGTTTACTAGGAAATAATTGTGGACAGACAGGCTGTTATGACTTAACAGGGAACCAGAGAAGGTTCCTATAATGTAGGAGCTGTGAAAATAACGCTGTGAAATTCTGAATAGAACAAGGATTATCTCCAGGTTGGACGTTACTGTAGAGTAGGGAAAACAGCGCTGAACCAACAGTCAGCCACCTTGCCCCTAAAAGCCCACGACTACACAGCAGACCACTTCACTACTGTGGACCCAGCTTCCTTGCATGCAAAAATGGGGTTAGAGATGAGCTACTGAAGTCTAAAATTCTGCTTAGGAAACCCTGCAACTGTTTAAACATCTGACTAGTGGGGTCAGGTAAGCTGGAATGGTGACAACAGGAATAGGAAGATAGGTAGAGAATAAAACCTTAACACAGAAACCTTAAATAGAACATAAATATTAAAAAAAACATAGCTGCATTATTAATTGTCCTGAACATAGAAATACAGTGAAATTCAGACTACCTGTAGACGATCAACATGAACTTTAACTCCTCCAATTATCCCGTTTTTAAAGGCTGCCAGCATATCTAATATGGGATTGAACCGGCTACCTCTAAAAATTATAAACAGATAAACAAAATGTGCATATTAACAACAGAATGGGGAGAAATTAATAATTTAATTCTAAGTGTCCTTTATATATACAAAGCACTCTGTCACATGCTAAGAGAGATACGAAAAAATCCAAGGAGGCCCTGCTTCTAAAGCAGCAGTCCCCAACCTTTTTGGCACCAGGGACCAATTTTGTGAAAGATAATTTTTCCACAGACTGGGGTGGGGGCCGGGATGGTTTCGGGATGATTCAAGCGTATTACATCTATTGTGCAGTCAAACCTCTCTGCTAATGACAATCTGTATTTGCAGCCACTCCCCAGAGCTAGCATCACCGTCTCAGCTCCACCTCGGATCATCAGGCATTTGATTCTCATAAGAAATGCGCAACCTAGATCCCTCGCATGCGCAGTTTACAGTAGGGTTCACGCTCCTGTGAGAATCTAATGGCCCCTGCTGATCAGACAGGAGGCGGAGCTTATGCGGTGATACGAGCAATGGGGAGCAGCTGGAAATACAGAGGAAGCTTCACTCGCTCGCCCGCCACTCGCCTCCTGTTTCTAACAGGCCATGGACCAGTACCAGTCCACGGCCCAGGGGTTGGGGACCACTGTTCTAAAGGGTTCACACAGTAATGGCAGTAAGATACACGCGCTTTACTTCTTTCATCAACCTACCTTATATTGTCTTCCCGGATGAGAACAAGGAAAAGTGGACGTCCATGCATTTTCCAATATTGCTTAATGAACTGAAGCGCATTCTATAAAAACAAAAGAATGAGGTAGGGTGTAATGGCACAGTATTTGAGATGACCAGGGTGCTTACTCATGAGTAGCAAAGAGTCAACAAAATTCTTATATATCAAGAGAGTTCACAGTCACACTCTGGATAACTGAGACTACTTAGGGGTAGAAGTGTTCTAGTAGATTATATGGTTACATACAAGTTAAGCTGAAAATCATTTTGAATTCAAACTTTGTTCTTAAAAGTAATCATATCACATATGTTTTAAGACTTTTCTCTCTCTCATTCTCTCTCTTTCTTGGCCTAAAAAATACAGTTCAAGAATGGTCCCAGGGGAAAAGTCATCCCAGGTTATCATCCAGAGCATTAATTCTCACTCCATATTACTGTGGAATTATATTATAGTAGGTAGAAGAGATTTGACTGAATCAATACAGACCATAAGCAATGTGGAGAAAGTTCTTTATTTGATTAAATTATCTATCTATCTATCATCCTCATCATCATCTCAAAGACATATCATTAATATCATCGTCGTCATATCAAAGATCATTTTTTACCATATGCCAGGCACTATTCTGAGTGCGTTACATATATTAACTCATTTAATCCTCAAAACAGCCCTATTATTGTTGAGTTTTACAGATGAGAAAACAGAGGCTTAGAGGAGTTAAGTAACGTGTCCAAGAACACACAGCTCGTAAGTGGCAGCACCAAGATTTTAACAAATGTAATGTGGCTCATGGATGCTCTGAACCATGATTCTAGCTTCTCTACTCGGCAAGTGGAAAAGGGAGTGGAGGAGATTTTAACTCACAGGGTTATGAGTTATTTGAGGTTTTACTGGACATTCTTCATAAATAAAATTACTTTGCTAACTCAACTATTGTTCAGAAAGAGATGAACTATTGCTACCATATGAACATAGTTCTCAAAACAGTTCCCCTCTGCGTTATCAACTATATCTTCTGATTCCATGTGGAGAAAGGCATAACAAACAGTCCACCTATCGTCCCAATGCTGCGAGTAATGTAAACTCTGCAAAGCTACGAAGGTGTTATTTTACTTCTGTATTTTACACTGTGTTAAACCGATGTCACAGACACTCAGGAGCACTCACTATAGTAACATAAGATAAAAGAAGGGGAAACAGAGTCATCTCATTTCAAAGAAAGGTGATCTGAAGTTACCTTTATGTCGTCTATCAGCAGCAAAACATCTTGAGACATGTAGAAATCACTGAGGTCGAAGATAATAGGGTAACAAACCACAGTCTTTCCTAGAATGCGATAAATCTATAAAGGAAAAGTTTTTAAAAAAATAAATAAATACAAAACATACAAAAAGCAAAGATGTAGTACTGTAAGTGCCAATAAATGTCAAAGCTGATATTTAATTTCAAATAAGCAAATCAATTAACAGCTTGTGAAATCCATATAATATTAAAATATTATATAGTTTCTTGATTGAATCAGTAGGCTAAGAAACTTAAAGTAGTCCACCTCTAATATGACGAAAAAAGTCTGTGTTTGAGTAAATATTATTATAATTAGGTATTTTACAAAGCTTAGAAATAATACAGCAGTGAGATGCTCATTCATTCCTAGAACACTTCTGTGATATGATGCAAAGTAACAAAGATTTACTTGAGGAAAATAATAACTCATATAACTAGCCCAAGTGCATAATGAAACATGATAATGGATGAATGCTTAGCAGGTCAAACATCATTTCAGCAAGCGGTATCATAATCCAAACACTACTTGAGGAAATTTCCAGAGTACCTTTGATGTACCAAGGCAGCCAATGGGCCTATCTGGTCTTCCAGAGAGTCCTAACTTTTCATTGATACCCAGGTGAAAATAAGCCTGTAAGACACAAGTTTGTAAATTAGAGTCAGGCAAGAATCCATGCTTTCCCTTTTTTTGCTGTTTTCTTCCCCTGACTGTTGCGTTGTTAATCTGTGATCTTTCCATAGAAAAAGGGGCTGGGAACCCTTATCCAACAACTTATAGTACAAGCTAGCCAAAGATGTCAACTTAGATTTGGGGTCACTGATAGATCTGAGAGCAAAACTTCTGCAGATCCACTTAGCAACATTCTAAAATTCGACACTGTTCTTAGGCTGTCATAAATGTACAACTTGCATGGCTCTGTCTGATTCATAAAAGAATACAAAAAGACAAATGATTCCTGTGTCATTAAAAAAATGTAGCTATTTAAAGGTTTTAAAAATAGGGCCATATATTTTCTACTAAATTTCTACCTTCAAGTATTTCCCACCAAAATGGAAATGTCTTTATTGATTCTTCTGATTATATAAACTTTATGAAAAATTCAAACCTTATGCTAAAAGTGAATGTTCTCGTTGACTCTCACAACCCTTACGGTGTAATTGAAAGGGGAGTAATTCATTGTGTGATCCCTAAGGGGCACTACAAGTATAGGTAGGGTTACAGATTTTTAAAAGTACATAGAAAAAGTTATACCCATATTATACACATAGATCAAAATGTGTGTATATTTATGTAATTGGGTTCATATAATATATAATCTGTTTTCTGTTTCATTTTTTTCAACTTAGTATTGTGGTGTCCCAGTTTTAAGATGTTAAAATGAGCCTATGCATTTTCTTTACATTTCAAGGTTGAAATGATTGAAGAAATATAAAAACTGGGGGGAAAAGTTTGTAGAAGTATTATAATACAGGGAAGGGTACCACAGTGGAGCAGAAACTTCTAGAATTTCTGTAAGGTAAAAACAGTCTTGGAATGAATTAGGAGCGAGCTGATGCCAATGCCAAGCACTGAATGTGGTCAGGGAGCTCTTTCACCCTGTTTACACCCATCCTCTGATGAAGGCAGCTCCCCACTTTTTGTTATTTTAAAAATAATTCAATAAATATTCTTGGACGGTGTATTACTATATCTGCAAGGTAATTTCCTAGACTTGTGGGATCAAGGAGAATGTACACTCTTTTTGAAACGTAATGCCGGGTTGGCCGCCCTCTAGAAATAATGTACGCGTTTACATCGGCATTAACGGTGCATCGGCCTTTTTTGTCACTCTCTTGGGTCAAAATGATATTTTGTTTTACTTTCAAACTACTGTATTCAAATATTTTGTAGGTGAGCATTTTCCACTATATTTAATGACTCTTTGTATGGTCTATAAATTTTTTCATTTGTTCTCTTTTGAACTGGGTATTTGTCATGTTTTTGATTTATAAGAGAGCTTTGTATATTGAGAATACTATCCTCTGAATCAAATACCGCCCTTGGTTTGCTCTCTGCAACGTTGCTATGAAATGTGAGAATGACTGCACGGCAGGTCGAATATCACGAAAGCATGGGATATTTCAATGTAAACGCTTTTCTACTAGACAATGCGTAAGCACCTTTGCTGTGCCTCGCTGTTTACACTGTATTTATTTATACGGTATTCGTCAATCATTTCCTTAATGCCTTTTGGCACTGGTATCAGTCTAAGAATGGGTTCCTCCCCCCAACAGCTATAAAGTTATTCTCCTACTTTTTCTTCTAGTGATTTTATATTTAAATCACTTAAAAAATTTTAAATTTTTAATCTCTCTGAAATTTACATTTGCATTTAATGGGAGGTAGGAATCTAACCTAAATTTTCCTAAATGGAAAATCAAAGCATCGCTACACAGTCTACTGACTGTGATTTGAACTGACTTCCCGCGGGGACTCCCGCCGCCGAGCTGTCCGTCATTCCGCCGGCGCCGGCTCTGCGTCGTTCTCCCTCCGGACTGCACCCGCGCGGGCACCGGGCGCACGTAGCTGGCGCTCAGGAAACGCTTGCCGGGCGAGTGAGAGCAACTGCCCGGCCTCCCGAGCCACCCGCGCTGTGAACGCCGAGTCTGGGATGGCAGCGGCTTCGCATGAAGCCGAGCGGCCGGAAACAGCACTCGGCGAGCGTCATGTGACTCGGCTGCGCTGAAACTACAGCACGTGACACTAGATGGCGCCCCCTTTCCCCCAAGTATTTCCAGGTTTTCGGAAATAAGTGTATGTCTAAACACCCTAGAGTTCTTCCTCCAGACAGGGGGTTATATTAATCCAACACGCGCACATTAAAATGTGCCAGTCTCGGCGGTTTCCTCCAAACACCACTGCCACAGCGAAGGGACGCTGCTTAGCTTCCCGAACACGCGCGACGCCGCACGTCTGCGACCACTGAGCCGCCAGGCCCGCAGCGCTCCCGGCGGCAGCGGCCAAGCTCTCCCGACACAGGAGCGCCCGCGCCCGGCCAGCGCCGCAGAGCAGCCCCGCGTCCAGGTCCCCGCGAAGCGGGTCCCCGCTGTCACCGCGCGTGGACGCGAGCGCCAGCCCCGACCACGCGCTGCCCCAGCCGTCTGCCCGCAGCTCTTCGGTGGCTGAGGGGGGGAGGCTGCTTGGGAGAAAAAGCCAATCATCGGCCAAAGGATGCGCGCACCAGCGAAGATCTGACGGAACATCTTTACTCGTAAAAGGTGCACTAAGGAGCAGTGGGCTGGGCGACGCGTCCTAGAGGATGAATCCCAAGGAGTAGCTGGTCGGGAGCACAGAGGTTGCAGCCACAACCAAAGAACGATCTTCCATCTTAACAAGTGCGCAGGAAAGCTGGCTCTTGGTCATGGATGTCTTTTTAGCCACACCGCACACGCGAATCGTAAATCGTTTGTTAATACTACCTTTGGAACAACGAAAGACAAAGTAAGTCGAGAACTGCTATCAGCCTTCACCTTCTCTGCAACGGAGCGCTTCCCACGGCCTCTGTGGTTCCACAGCACTTGGAGCGAACATCTACCGTAGCAGCTTCCGAAGTGGGCTGTGATGAACTATTTTTTATGCCATGCCACTAGACCCAGAGGTCGCTGAGAACGGGGACAAAGCCATTTCACCGAGTGCCCACACGTGCTCTGCGCAGAGCACGCGTCTGCTGCTGACGGAGCGAATAGAGCGCCCCGCGTAAGTGACGTGGCCTTTCAAATCCTGACTGCCTGTCGCCTGGTAGAATGTAAACTCATCTACTCTAAAGAAAGTTGCTGATTAGATTGAAAGAACAGATTTGGGTTAATTCGTTTTGAGAGTATGTTTATGGAAGAATGACCGTTGTTAACCGTTCTCTAGGGCTCTCAGGGAGCGACCATCAGAGTGTCCCAGCGGAAACAGCTGCGCCTGAACAGCCAGAGCGTGGCCTGAGCATCTGGGATTTGCTTCTTTTCTCCCCTTCCATGTTGCCTCCTCTCCTTGCCTTGCGCCACCATTTACATCTTGGTGTGACTTGAAGGTGTCACCTGCTCTGTAGGGGTCCTTGTACTTCCGGCCTTACCTCTGGGGGAGGGGGCTCTGAATTTGTTAGAGAAGATTTAGGACTCTCGGTGACCTGACACCCGGTTCTGGCTAGTGTTGCCTCCGGGCAAGGTCCAGCCCAACAGCCAGCAACTAGAAAGTCCTGCCTCTGTCCCTGCGACGTGCGCCTCTCTGCTCTGCGCCTTCGTTCTCTTGTTGTGGCACAGGCTTTGACCACAGCTGCTTCTGTCAACCCAATCAGCTTAATCTTGCTCACTCGAGAGATTCCGTTATAACCACTTCTGCCAAACACTGCGGGTTTGGTCCTATATTGTTTTTAATAATCACTAAATAAAAATACTAGTTTATAGACACGTAGTGGGAATCAATAATTTCCTGTCCCTGATGAGCAAGAATATTCACAAACACACGCACTTCTGGATCCATCGTGGAAGAGTGCACGCAAAAGGCCTCAAAAGTCACCTTTTAATCCCATCCCAAATAGGTGTGTAGCTACATTAAAGATAAACTCAGACGTCACTTAATAAATACTTTGAGACCCAGCAAAGAAAAGAGGTAGGAATTACCTAAGACCCCAAATAGTAAGACAAGAGAAAAAAGGGAAGTAGTAATTACCAAAAAATATTTAGATATGAGAAAATTTAACAGCTAATAAAAATGGAAAATATAAAATCAAAATATAAAGAATGATTTTATATCTCACTACTAAAATTAAGACTAAGTTGTTGTTCAAGTGCTCAGCCCAGGTTAGTAATAGACTTCGGCAAGGAGTAGAAATCAACAAGACCTATGAATATAATGTCCTCACTCTCTCTTACCCTCTCTCTCTCTCTCTCTCTCTCTCTCTCTCTCTCTCTCACACACACACACACACACACACACACACACACACACGATGCAGTAGTTTTTTTTAGTAACAATGTCTGATAAAGTGGGCTTTTCAACTTAATTAGAAACCTTCAGATTCATGCTCCCATCTCAGAACCAGATTTTAACTTGCCTGTAAACTAAGGCCAACCATCATGCTCTACGACCTGCACAAGTAGAAAGTAAAGAAGCAGAGTCACTCACTTTCACAAGCTCCTGCTGAGCCCATATCTGAATGGGCTCCACTTGCTGAGGAGTCTGAGTCTGAATGCCATATGTGTTGAGAAAAACTTGAAGGCTAAAGTGCACAGGGAAAAAAGAGAGAGTTTTAGACAATGCGTTTACAGTTTAGGAAACGGTGAAGGGGGAGGATAAAAGGGGGCAGACTACATTAATTTGAGCACATTTCTAATTTGTTAATATCAGCAACATGCCATCTGCATTGGAATCCAGAGGCCCTCTTGGATTCTCCACGAAGCATCAGATGGGAGCTTTGGGGGCTGGCAGGGAGGGAAAGCACTGACTTTGGGAATCCCCGTAATGTGTCTGCACTAATTTCTCAAAACACAGGCAACACTAGCACTGGTCACAGTCTTTAATATTCACATTGACTAAAATAGAATTATTTTTAAACATGAAAAGAATGATGTGCTAGCACTTAAAGTGACATTAATGATATCCTTGAAACCCTTGTCAAGGAGTTTATGAAATTCATCTCTACTACCACACTCAACACGGTAAGCACAGAGCAATCATTTCCCCTGACGAAAGAACAAACCACCCATCTGGATTTCTTACCGTTGGCTTTCTGCTACAAGTGCTACGTGGACTACCAAATCATTCTCCAGTGGGCCCTGCAATACAGAACGAGGGAGGGGAAAACATTTAAAAAGATCTTGCCATCATCAGCCACAATGAGAATCGAGGACAATATTAACCATCTCTAAGCAGTTCATTAAAATGATGGACACAAGCTGGCTCTAAGCGGCCGCCTTTCTTCCCTTGCTCGCCACTGCCTACTCATCAATTTGACGGTGTGGACAGAGTAATGGAACACCAAGCAATGGAAAGTCATAAATCTCATCAGTACCAGAGGGGCTAGCCTGTCAGGGCTATTTTGAATGATGCATAAGAGCAGTTTGAGGACTGAGAGTCATTTTCCATCATTTAACTCTGAAGGGAAGAGGAGGAACTAAAAATAAAAACCCAATTTATGTATTCTCTGTAAAAAAAAGACTGAGTTAAAATTGTTCATTTGACATCTTAACCACATATAACGTTATTCCTTTTCTTGTTAGCCAAATTTCATTTGGCACCTTATACATCAAAATAGCTTTCTTTATTCTAATAGGTAATTCCTATAACAGAGATTGAACTATATAATTAACATTATGTTCATTAAATACAAGCTGTTGGAGTTTACAGTTCTAATCAAAGATAGTGTTGGAGATTTGCTACTCTACTCTTTTTTGTGTGGAAAAGATTCACTATAGCAAATATTATATATTGTTAAAATGAACCCAAGTTTGAGGCTGTACATAATTAAGAGAGAACATTAAGATGCACCAATAAATTACAGTATTAGAGAGCTCTGAAAATAGTGATCAAACATAACTCCTTTATAGTAATGAATCCAACACTCCCAGTAGTGTGCTCTAAATGTTTGATTTACCATCAATCAGTTCCTTCTATGGTATTCAATATGCCACTAGAATTTATACCTTGTGGGAGGCAACACCAGAATACATATATCAGCAGGAAATATCATATGATCACAAGGATGGCTCCCAGAATCATTGTGAAAATGACATTTCGGGCAGATTTTCATGTGATTTAAATGAATGTATAAGAAAAATATGATTTAACAACCCAACAAAAACAAATACACATTTAAAATGTTATAAATTCTATTTTTATTTGATGAAGACCTTGTAATGTTTCTCAAAAGGATGAGAAAAAATTAATTTTTCAGAGTCTCATCAAGATTTTTAACAAAAAGTGAAAAAATTAAGCCTTATTTCTCTTGGATGAAATCTAGGGTTTACTTCATAAAAAGGAAGAGTAACCTTAGAGTAGTCCA